TAAGGATGGAACAATTTGTTGTGTTTGGTTATGGAAGAATAGCACACATAGCTCACAGATCTAAGCTAAAACCTGAAAACCCCAACCTTACTCTACTCACCTCACACTCGACATCCATATGTTCGAAATCAGAGGTATGAGATCAACCCAAAACCTAGCCCACTTTTCTTACCTCTCTTTGGACTTCTCTCTCTTCTAAATCCGAGCTCAGAGATCTACGCTCAACCCAGAAACCCAGAGCTCTCTCGACATCATTCTCTTCTAAATGTGATAAGTGATGCAATAAGCTGAGGGTTTTTAGTATTTTAGTAATTTTGATTTTGTGCATGGTGTGCATGACCGGTTTATCATATTTCTATCCCAAGATTAAGAAAAATGAGTTATTTTGTCTATTTCTCTAAATTTAGAGACATTATGTGTCACAGCCCGTCCCGGGATTTTATTCATCGAGGACGTGATATGACGGAATTACCCTTAGCGGGTACTAAGGTATGTGTGTGTGACATATAATTGGTTTAAAACATACATTCCTAAATTCTTGGAAATGAATTAAGTTTGATTTAATAAAGTGATATGTATGTTTGTGTGGCTAGGGTTGTGAGTTGGACTTGTTTTTTTGGATGGACCACACAACACACACTCGGGACAACCTTTTCCCTCCCTCTTCCCCGTGCTCTCTCTCTCTCCTCTCTGTTCAGTCTCTCTCTCACTCTCGAAACCGTACGGACACACTCACCATCGAGCCTACAAGCACGGATCGAAGATTGTGAAGGTACCATCGTGCTCGTGAGGACTATACGAACTCAACCACACCCATTTCAGGTAAGAAATCTTTCGATTTCACGTCGAAATCACAAGCACCGATTTTGGCACTATTCATGAACTTTATGTTGGTTGATTTTTAGGACAATCCAAGCTCATAGTGAGCTTTAAGAGGTTTTCATGAAGCTCGGGGACGTTCGTTTGGAAGTTTTGGACGTCGGGATCGTGTAGTTCGAAGTTGGCCGATTTCTTGGAATTTCTCCGGTGAGATTTCGTGATTTTTAGAGCCTTAAAGTAGTGTAACGTGAAACTACATGTTTAGGGCTTCATTTTGGTATAAAATACGAAGAAAAGGGTTGAGAAATGACGAAGAACAAGGCGTTTGAAAAATGCCCAGAATCCGGCCACTGGAAAACCGGTCCGATGACTGGTTGAGGAAAAAGACGCGCGTGGGGGCGCGTGACAAGCCCAAAAATTATTTTAAAAATTTGTCGACGTCCGTGACGTCGAGTAGGTCACTGTGGTATATTCATATACCCGATTTGAGCATCGTATGAGAAGTTATTACGAATTGTTGGTTATATGCTTTAAAATAACGTTTTTATAGTTATTTCACATATAGGTGACACCTATCCCGAGGATGAGCGCATCTAGGGACGTCACGGGGGTTACGACCCTTCGACTTATCAGTGAGTGTGCAATATTTTTGTTTATACCTATATACTATTTATATGTTTCCCAGAAATTGAGTTTGAACGAAAATACGTTTTCAAATGCCATGCATACATGATATGAGTTATATGAATTGATAATTGATGCATATATATATATATATGTGAATTGGTGTTGTGGACACACATGTGAGTATCAGGTGAGTTTATGTTATTCATGTGCATTGTTGATATGTATTATGTTGATAGCTCATAACCTGCAATCATGGTGTTAGTGCTTATATTATTCACCTCGCATCGCACGCTCACCTTGGATTCAAGTAGGTGCATGTCGTACAGACCATGAGAGGGTTCCGACTGATAGGTGACCTTAGATTGTGTACACAGATGTTTGATGAGAGAAGCACTAGAGCGTATTATTATTACACCATCCTTATCGTACAGACTACTTCAGGTAGTTTCGATGTAAATGCAGTGTAGTGCCGTATAGGTCACCGAGGTGACTCCGGATGGATTTGATGTTGAGCTATATAATTAACCGTACAGGATCAACTACAGGGTCTCCGGTTAATTCATTATTTCACCTGTTACATTGATGCATCATTCATTATGTTTTTGAAAGTTTTTAACATGGCATACTTTCTGGTTTTTAAGAAAGATTGATGATTTGAGATAAATGAAAAGTATTATGCTAGTATGCTATTTTCTAGGAAAGTATACAGGTTTTACAGCGAGGGGTTATAAATGTTTTAAATGAAAGGTTTTCAAAAAGTTTTGTTTTACTGACCCACTCAATTTTGTTTTGCACCCCTCCAGGTTCTAGTTAGCAGTTGGTGGCTCACGAGGCTCTCTTCGGCGTTCTGACAGACTCTCCTAATGTAGGACTCACCTGCGGGTGTTGTAACTTAATTATAGTCTTACTTGACTGCACCTAGTTGCTTATGCTCTGAAATTGTGTGTTGCATACTTTAACTCTCTCTAGCATGCTTTTGGTTATTCTTGCTAGTAGTTGGTTTTTACTCTTTCGTAATTCTCTTATTTTGCTTCCGCACCGCACTTATGGTTACGTCACGCTCACGTGACGGCCAACATGCCTTGATTCTAGGATCGGGGTGTGTCATTATGAGTGATGTGATAAGTACGCAACGAAAAAAGACTTAGTGGGTCGCATTACTTCCTAAATCTTCGACTCTTTATTGACTTAACTCGTGTGAGTAAATTGATGTCCTGCAATCCTGCTCTCTCCCCGACTCTCCTTCCTAAAACCAAACCCTAACTTTTCTGCAATCTTAGCCGTATGCTCCTCGCTCCGGCTTGGAGTCGACCGCATCCACTCTTCACCCTCCTCCTAACCTATCTCTCCCCTCCTAACCTTCTAGTAACCCATCTGCCTCTGTTTTTCACCCTTCATTCCCTTCCCTTTCAATGCCCCGCCCTCTCTCCCATGTCTTCCCCTTTCCCCTCATCTCCCTTTACCCTCTCTTAGTTTCAATTGCGCCTCATCTCCCTCTCCGGTATTTCTTTCCCACTGTTTTGTGCCTCTACCCAGATCTGCAGCTGTCTGTTTCAAGGTTCTTTCCTTGATTTGTGGCTTAATTAGCAGTTGAGGTAGGATTTATGGTTGTTGGTGGGTTAGTTCCACTTCCATCAGCTTGTTTCCGTGGCTATGATGCTCTACTCTCCAATTTGGTGGCTGCATCCTTGCCCACTCAGATCCTGTGGACCTGCTACCTCGAGCGTTCAATGACGCATAACTGTCTTGTGCAACCATAACATGTGACTCTGCCTTGTGCGACCTGATCTTTTCAGGGATGTTGTGGAGCTCACTAGTGTGCTAATGGTGTGGTCTTAGTTTGTGTTTTGGTCAATGAATTGAACTGACCGGTGGTTCCTTTCTTTCTCAGAGTAGTATGTAGTTGGTTTTGTTGCCTCGCCCTATAAATTGTGGTCTCATGTTTTGTAGTGACTGGATTTGTCTTCGCTTTATGAGATTGGTATGTGGTCTCGTCTTTCAATGATGACTTATTGTGATCTTGCTTGCGATGACTCTATGTAGCCTAGCACTTATGCAATGACCTATGTGTTTGCCAGTATTAATTTGTTGCGTCTATCGTGTTTTTGTGACAAATTCATACTAGAAACATCTTGTAGGGTAGGGCAGTGCTTGTGGTAGCCGTTTAGGGGTTTGTTGTTGTTTGCTTACTTGCGCAAATTTATTCCAGATCAATTTCTTGATCACTGGAGCTTATGTACCCGATTGGCAACCCTTGTCATTGTTTGTGAAGTTCAATGAAATACCACTATCGTTTCTTCTCAAAAAAAAAAAAAAAAAAAAAAACTAACTCGTGTAAGTAAATCATGCACTGCCTTACCCATCAAACTGTTAAGGATTCGCGTACTGGAATAGCTTATGGAGGATGATTCTTTACTCTCCTAATCTCTCTACCCTTCCATGCCCTCCTATTTGAACGATCACGGTTAAGGCATATCAACATCTTATATTGATTTTTTTTTATAGAGATAATAAAACAAAAAATAATGTGTAAGAGGAGGGGATGAAAGGGGATGAGAATAGGAGGGTAGAGAATCATCATCCATAGCGTATAGCTCCCGCGTTCATTTGGTGTGTAAATAAAAATGATTTTGCATAAACATGTTGAATTCTTTTACTGAGAAAAGACATGGGTTTGTTAATTGCAGGGATTTCATTTCATGTACAAATTTGGAGGACTAGTTCATAATGTATTTCTCATTCAACTTGTCTAAACGCTTATATTAGTTTATTTGTGATTGTTTTAGACCAAACCAATCTATTTAAGTGAAGCCAATCAAGCGATATGTTTGGTAATTTCTAGTAAAGCTCAATCAAATTATAGATAGTTCATTATTATATTACCAAATGAAGCGACCGGCTCTGGTAACATATGAGATCTTCATGATGAACTATACACTAATTTAATATATATATGAATAACTAAATGACCTCAAACTTAATTGATTTATTGTACACAATCTTTGAATGATCATTATGAAAATGTGTAGATTATATTATGACATGTGTACAATAACAATTTGTTAATTATAATTAGGTGGACAATAGATATTGCAATAAGTGAAATGAGTTCATCATCATTGTGTCATCTCGAATCACTAATATATGCTCTTATGTAAAAGTTTTTGCCGATAGCCATATATTAATGGTTTGAAACGCTACAATAAAAATAAACTCGTCACATAAAAGTCTCTCTTGCACCTCTGCAATGGACACATATATTGTATAAGTTTATATTTTCTTCAGATGTTATGTGGTATAGTGTTCAAATAACATGATGTTCCATACACATGATGCAAAGATGTGTATAAAATTATTTCTAATCGACATTGTATTTTGACACAAAGGCTTAGTACCGTATAGTGTATCTATAACATATAATTTGTATAACTTGTTTTCATATTCTTGAGGAAAAAACACAGAGACTGACATAGCTACTATTTTATAGTTGATTTGTATCTCTCATGCTCAGTCTCCAAGTCCCCTCAGTCCCCACTCCCCATACCAAAATTGTCGTTTTTAGCTGTATTGGACCCCATTCGCCCTCCCTCTCAAGTGCTTCCCTCCCTCCCTCCAGTCTCTCCCTCTGTGTCTCTCTCCCATAAACCCCCTGCATTGTCCTCACTTCCAAAGCCTCCAACATCACCGCCATCCTCCTCCCTCGTAGGCCGCCGCCAGCCTCCAACTTTGTTTTAGAATAAAGTCCCAACACAGAGAAAAATCATAACAAGCTCCACATGGATCCCTTCTTTACATCCTTCCCTTCTCTCACCGTCATCCTTCTTCTCTTACTAGCCATGGCTTCCACAGGTAAAGCTCCAAACTTTCACTCTCTCAGCCTCTCTGCTTTCATGGGTTTTCCGTAATCTCATCTGGGTCACTCTCCAAACTCACATTTTCACTAACACCTTCACAACTCTCTCTCTCTCTCTCTCTCTCTCTGTTTTGTTTTTCAGGTGTATTAGCGACGACATTCACATTCGTCAACAGATGCGACTACACAGTGTGGCCCGGCATTCTCGCTAACGCCAACAGTCCTAGTCTCGACTCCACCGGATTCGAGCTTCCCAAACAAACCGCCCGCACTTTCCAAGCCCCAACCGGCTGGTCCGGTCGTTTCTGGGCCCGAACCGGCTGCAGTTTCGACGGATCCGGTTCCGGGTCCTGCACCACCGGCGACTGTGGCTCTGGCCAAGTCGAATGCAACGGCGCCGGAGCCTCCCCGCCTGCGACGCTTGCCGAGTTTACTCTCGGCACCGGGGGACAGGACTTTTATGACGTTAGCCTCGTAGACGGGTACAACTTGCCCGTTTTCGTCGAGGGGACCGGCGGGTCGGGTCAGTGCGCCTCGACCGGGTGCTCCTCCGATCTGAACAGGATGTGCCCGACTGAGTTGAGAGTCGGAGACGGCGACGCTTGTAAGAGCGCGTGCGAGGCGTTTGGGACTCCCGAGTACTGTTGCAGCGGCGCGTATGCTACACCCAACACTTGTAGCCCGTCGGTTTACTCGCAGATGTTTAAGGCGGCGTGCCCCAAGTCGTATAGCTACGCCTACTACGATGCTACGAGTACGTTTACTTGCACCGGTGCTGATTATACGGTGACGTTTTGCCCCTCTTCCCCAAGGTAAATAAATTAAAGCTACATGCTTTTGCTTTATTGTCTCACAAGCTTTTGTACAACTCATCGGTCGGGGATTTTCATTTTAAAATTTATTCGAGCGGATTCGAACACAAGATCTTATGAGTTCCTGACTTGTTATAAAACAGCAACAAAGTTAAAGATTATTCTCTAAAAAATATAAATAAGATCTAATATTCTCTCATTTTGTGATTTTCACTTTGGTGTGGATGATTTAGTGGCTAATTGCCAATGCCATGCTGCCAAAGTTTCTCTTTTTAATGTTTGATTATGTTTTGGAGTATTTTGTTTTTAATATTTGGGTTTTTATTTAATTAATTTAGGTTGTTGGGGTTGCTTTTGCATGTGAATATGTATTATTTTCATCACTTTGGACTGTCACACTATTTGGTTTGTGATAAATTAGTTGTTTTATATGCTTTTTTTCCCCTAACATTTGATCATGTGGGCATGCAGTCAGAAATCTTCTAGAGATTCAACCACACCAATGACAGCAACACCATCACAAGGGGCTGCTACTGCCGGGTCGGATCCCGGGTTCACTTATTCAGATTCAGGTGCCGGCTCAGGCGGTGCAGTGTCCGGTTCTGGTACAGGTGTGGATACGGGTACTGGGGCAGGTTCCGGCACCGGGGCTGGCGAAGCAATGCTGGCTGACGGGTCATGGCTAGCTGGTTTGGCCATGGGAGACTCACCTAAGACAGTGCCTCTCCCCACTCTACACTCAACACTCACTACCCCAGCAATTTTATGTATCGTCTTGTCCTATCTTTACTTGTAGGCCATAACTTTCATGCACCCGTTGCATGTGATGAGTGTCGTACATTTGTTAGATCATGTGAGTAGCACATGACGATAAATGTTAAACAACGGGCGCAGGTAAGTTTCCTTCCAACTCTATGATCCCTTGTCTTGTTGGTCTGCAATGTGAATTCTACAGAGCTTTTGAGTGTTTTAGTGTCGCCGGAGTTTTGCTTTTGGTAGGAAAAGCTTACAGATTCATCAAGATGGTAAAATCCATTAAGATTCCCTCATCATTGTAACATACGCATAAGAAAGTTGATCATTTTCTCTCTTTGAACTTTTTTTTTTTTGGGTAGCAAGGACTTCTGTCAAACAAATACGCCAAGGTGACGGTTTTTCAAATTAATTATGAAACATTACGTGGAAAACCTATAACACTAGTGTCGTGTAATTAGTCCGGGATTTCAAACAGGCATTCCGAGTTGTAGTCAAGCCCTTTATGTAGTAGTAGAAGCCCTTTTTCTTCCCACTCAAGGCTCTTGTCTGAAAGTTCTGCCGGTATGTACTTATTAAAGCAACAAATGAGGATTGAGAACCGTTCTTTTAACTTTAGATGGCTTTAGAACGGGGAATTAGCTTGAATGATTGGGTTTGGACATTTGGTTGTAGAAATACTCAGTCTTTAATAATGAAGATGTAATTGATCATATATCACTACACAGCGATGACGTATTGATCAGTTTTTTTTTATCTTCAACTGGATATTTGCTTTTGGGTTTTGTTTTCTGCTTTGATTTTTTATCAAAAGAAATAGAATTTATTCGTGGCTGTGAAGGTTTCTCTCGAAAGGGAAGTGAATAATACTATAATGTGAATGGGTGAGTACAATTGTAGGCTGCTTTCCGTTTGACAGAGAGGCACCACTTTGCAGGCATTTCAAGTTTATGTTTACTATCTGTCTACCTTTTTTTCTTATGACTCGTGAGAGTTCAAACCTTCAACGTTCAAATTTTTTGGGACAACTTGTTGGAGTAAATTCTGAATATGTGCAATCACAGATAAAAAAAAACTTATCTACAATACAATCTCTATAAACGAATATTACTGGGACTAAGAAAAAAAAAAAACGGTCGTACCCAGTGCACAAGGTTCCCGTTTTAAGCAGGATCTGAGAGAGGTGAATGTCGGCTAGCCTTACCCTCATTTATGGAGAGGCTGCTCCTAAGAAAAACTATTATTATTTTAGAGAGGTTGTTTTTTTTGAGTGAAACGATAGCGGTAGTAAGTTAAATGTTAAATTAGTCACCGATGAATTTCGAACCCACGCCGTCATGAAAAGGCATGACACCTTTCCATTATATCAATAAATGAACAGTATTTGATTTAAGAAGTTTATTTTATTTTATGTTTTGTTTCATTTTTTATTTTTTAACAATGATGCATGATATCTTATAAAAGCAACAAATGTACATATATGACTTTAAATTTGTAAGATAATTTAAGAACTAAATCAAGTTTTTTTTTCCCCCAAACTTAATGCCCTCGAAGATAAAATATACTTTGGAGGCATATTTTGAGAAGTTGAATTGAGAAAATGTAAGTTGTCTTTTTAATATATACGATATCTACATTATGAGAGTATGAGAGTGGACTCACAATGGGTTAACCATAATACTTTGATTTGAATTCTCCTTTAACGTGAAATGAACTTAAAAACTATCACTTACAAATGAGTTTTTAAAGTAAAAAAAAAATCCTAAATATGTATTATGAATATTTATGTGTTTTTTCTTTTATGTATCTCGTCACTTATTAATTTATATTCGTTAGGCCTTAAATGATTTAAAAAAAAATTATTATCTTCTGCATTTAGCAAGGTTATAATTTTAGTACACCGGCTCTAGTCGAGACTAGAATGACATAAAAGTTGATTATTGGATTATGACTTAGGCGTTGATAAACGTGTTCATTCTTATTGGTAACATATCATTTAGTTTGCAAATTTTATTTCTCTAGCATTATCTTTTTATTATTTAACTAATGTTGTGATTTTATTGAATATCCATTTATCGAGATTTATTGCACTTGTTATACAACGTTGAGTATACAATAAATATTAAGAATTATTATTGGCATTCTAAAAATTTTATTTTGCACTTCAAACTTTCTATAATTAGAAAAAAAAATATGATTGTGAGGAGCGTAAAATGTGATTATTGGAGTGCTAATAACAATTTTCTAAATATTATAGACACAAGAAGGAACGAAACCCTAAGTTATTTCCATGTTATAATTTTGGTTTGGTGAGATAGTGCATTGTGGTTGAAGTCGTTAGTTGGATTTTAAAGGGAAATAACTTAATCCTGAGTGGGTGTTGGGGACCCAAGAACAAATACAAATCAAATCTTTACAAATCCTTAAAATAAAGAGGGATTTGGACCAAAAGTGGCACATTTGTGCAAATAACAATATTATCTACACTAAAGGGGAGACAGTAGGCTTAGCTTCACAATAGACTAGCAATAATGTAGTTCAAATTTGCCATTGACGAGAATTGAACTAAAGATATCTCACTTACAAGTGAAGAAGAATATCACTAGACTATGGATGATACTAAGTGGATATGTAAGGATAATATTAGAGAGACTAAATTTTTAAAACTAAATTTAAAAACCAAATAATATAGTTATTAATAATTAAATTATTAATTAAATACTTATTAACATGCTTATTTTTTATTGATGACATATTATTTAGTTTGTAAATTTGATTTAAAATTTTGATTTCTTTTAACATTACTAATCATAAGCCCTCAGCTTTTCTTCCCGTAAAAGGAACATGATGTTGACACTGTTGAGATGAGAATTTAGGTTTTCTTTGGCCCACCTTTGAAAATTTTCGTATAACTTCAGACCCACTTTTTGGACCAATCTTTGCACAATTTGCGTTGTGATTATGTCGATGTAGGCGGATAGCTTATAGTCGGGCAGAAGTTTTTTAAACTTTTAGATAAAATATTTTAAGAAAAACTAATGAAAATGGCTTGAAAATTTTGAGTTTTAATGATAAGAACAAAATAAAGGGTAAAGTAAATAGTACAAGGACTGACTTTTTAGTGTAAAAACGTGGTTTTGTTAAAGTGAACAGTACCAGAGCTTTTCGTTAAAGTTCCCAATATTTTATAAACAAATTTTAGTAAGAATGCAAGTTAATTTTTGAAAAGCATTTGATGTGTTCCCAACAAGAAGTACATAACTTGTCCTTTTAGCGGGAAACATTTCAAGTACTTTTAAAATCCAAAACCATTTTATCTAAAAATGGTTTCAATCATTTTAAAACAATTGACAAACGAGTCCTTAGTCCCAACAAAAGTTTTTCTTCTTTTCTTTTGCGAAAATTTAACGAGAAAATTTTCATTATGCCTGAAACACAATGGTATATCACGTGTTATTAAATAAGTGGTAGAAAGTTTTATTTTTTCTAAGTTAATTTTTTAACACAAGTATCTCACAACTTTGAGTTTTAACGATAAGGACAAAATAAAGGGTAAAGTGACACACCCCAACCTGGAAAGGTCGAAGCATGCTGGCCATCATCGTGAGGTGACGTAACCATAAGGGTAAGTGATGTAAAAAGTGAATAAGATTAAAACTAATTAGAACTAAACATTGAAAGAGTGCGCAATTCGTGGGTTGAACCCACTACAATTATTCAGAGCGTAATAGACAGTGAGACTACAGAAGAGTAGTCAAAGCAACCAAAGTACACTTATTACATAATAGTGATAAGTTCATACGTCTAAAACAGAAGGAAATGTCAGAACTGCCGGGATTCCTCGAGTGCCACAAAGAGTACAGCTATCTAGGTCCTGGAGGGGCGAAAAACAAAGTTGAGTGGGTCAGCAAAACAATGCTTATAAGAAAACCTTTATCTTTGAATATACTAACCTCTCGCCGTAAAATAAGTATAGTTTCCTTAAACATACTACTCAAGTATATAAACGATAATTCGATACTATTAAAGCAGTATAATAATCAGAAATATGCCAAGTAATGATGTATCGAATGCCACAGTAATAATCAGGTGATAATCAAGTATAGCTAAGTGCTCATCCATCTAAGCTGACACACAAGTTCGAACAGATAGATTCTGACACGAACATGACTGGGTATAATCAATATGCTCTAGTACAACGATCATGTGAAGACTGGTGCAAAAGCACATCACATACAAGTCGGATTGACTAAGTGCAATTTACCTGACAGGACTGACACCTAACTTGGATCCAAGGTGAGCGAACGGTGTAGATGTGAACATACACATGAAGGACTGGCCCTAGCCCTAGGGTGAGTACTAACACCGGGTGCATCAAGATGAGCATGTACAAATATGTATAAATGCCATGACAGTAATATCACAAACATATAGTAGCATTTATCACAGTTTATATCACAATAATGATACTAGGCAATATAGGCGTAAAAGTGAAGTAAATATGCATTTACGGAAACTATAAATATATATATAGGTATAAAACAACTGCTCACTCACAAATACGTCGCTGGGTCGTAGCCCTCGAGCCTAGCTTGGCCTCGAAAATCCTCGGGATAAGTTTCCCCTATATGTGAAATAACAAAAATAGCATTAATTAAAGCACATAACAGAAAAACCCACGCGCCCTGCGAGTACACTGTACTCACCTTCCTCGCGAAAGTCTGCAGTTTTTGTAGATTTTTAGTCCAACTTCCAGAGCTCCTAACGAATTCTTAACCAAATTCACTTCTACAAAAGCCAAATTAAAGCTAGGAATGTGGTCTACCGATCCCAATTCATAGAAAGTTAGAATATAGTCCGAGTTAATTAGAAATTTGGCCTGAAAGTGGCTAAACGACGACGGTTACAAATTTTCCAAAAACTGAAATTTTCTTCCTAACTTCCAAAGTTGATTTCTAACTCGATACTTGACCAAACTCAGTGATTCAAAAGCCATTTTGAAGTTAGGAGTGTAGAGAACAAGTTTGTACTAGAAGAAGTCCAGTTGTGGTCGAGGTTGACCAGAAAAATGGCTTGAAAGTGACTAAATGGCCACAGTTCTAGAATGAAAAACGCAGGTCCTCCTTGTTCTCGAGTTTCTAGGTAAAACCACACGCCAAAACACAAACAAAGGATCAATAACAACCCATAGAAATGAAATGAAGGTTCTAAAGGTTTCTCAAAGCTCACCTAAGCCATAAATGGCTTGAAAATCGATATGTCGAACTCGTTGAGTCGACCTTTCGAGTTGGTGAGTTAAAACTCGTCCACACCAGATTTCAAGGACATGGTTGTGATCGTGGG